GGCCGCATCCGGCCCCCAGGCCTTAGGTTGCCTACCCCTGCTATAAATAATCAGATCTGCAAAACTGAAAGCCACAAGTGTGGAGGGCCAACTGTATATCAAAAAATTAAGAGTATACTTACATTCTAATTGTCTCTATTGTATTAAATCCTGGGATTTGTGGTTTGCTGAAGGACTCAACTGGAGAACCCTAGTCTACTTCCCTGGCATATAATTAAAAGTACCTAATGAAACTACAAATCCCAGGATTTATTGGGATGGAGACAGTTAAAGTGGTATCAATTAGTATATTATTCAGTACAGATATATCTTTTGAGCCATATATATATATATAAGGTAAGGTGGATGGGTACTAAAGGGGACAAGAAATAAACGAAGGAGTTAAATACAAGAGAATCACACACACACACACACACAAATACATTAGGTAAATTTCCATTCACTGTAATTGTGTGTAACACCCCACTAACTTCCACGCTGGGTACTGCTGCTTTTTAAACAGGGCCAATTATGTGCCAACATCCAACCGTGGGCAGATGAACTGGAGACCAACAAGCGGGCAGATTGACAGCCAAGGGAAAAAATAAAGTTTACACCCATCTGTCAAGACTCACTTATCCATGACAAGATAGCGGAGGGCTGCCTTCTTTAATTTCCACCTGTCCCATGTTAGCTTTTTATTAATCTAAGGAAGCTATTCAACACAGAGAGACACCAAAACTGTTTACCAAACAAAATACCATCCTGACAGCCCCAATTCTATGGGCAGATAACCGTTCATTGCTCTTTTGACAGGTTGCTCCTTCAGGAGACATTGGAAACAGGGAAGGGTTGACTTGGAGAGCGCCAGCTTCATAGAAGCATACAGTTGGAAGGGACCACAAAGGCCAACCCCTGCCGTGCAGGAATGCACAATTACAAAACTTCTGAAAGATGTCCATCCAGCCTCTGTTTAAAGACCTCCAAAGAAGGAGAGTCAATCCACCACCCTCCGAGCCAGTCTATTCCATTGTCAAGTGAGTTCTTACAACAAATAAGTTATATCTAATGTTGAGCTGGAATCTCTTCTCTTCTAATTTGAACCTAGTTCATGGCCTAGTTTCTGGAGCAGCAGAAGATAAGTTCTCTCCAATTTCTATGTGAGTTTTTGATGTTTACAACACTTTGTTCTAGCTGGCTTTTGTGCACTTCCTACTTGTGGATTTGTTTGGATTCATGACCTCTAAACTGTCTTATGATGTACGGTTGTTGTTGTGTGCCTCCAAGTCATTTTTGACTCATGGCAACCCTAAGGAAAAACTTATCATAGGGTTTTCTTGGCAAGTAACTTCAGAAGGGGTTTGCCACTGCCATCTTCTGAGGCTGAGAGCCTGTGACTTGCCCAATGTCACCCAGTGGGTTTCATGGAAAAGTGAGGAATTGAACCCTGGCCTCTAGACTAGTCCAACACTCAAATCACTATGCCACGCTGGCTCTACAACCCCCAGCTCCACAGGACCAGTACCTGTGGTTTCACTTACCCATGTCCGAACAATATGTTATCTCTAGACATTTTCTAGATCCTCCAACACAATTCTATGGTATGCTTCTGGCTGAAGTTGAGTCATGATGGTGGTTCTGGAAATACCTAGATGAGTGTTCCCCTTAGGAATCTCTAGATCCTCCTAGACTAGAGCATCTGAAGAAGTAGGCTGAAGTCTACGAAACCACATGCTACTGACTTCTCTCTTTCGGTTAATCTCAAAGGTGCTGCAAGATCCCTTTGCATACTGATTTTCCAGACTAACATAGCTATGTCTTTGAATTCCAAAGTGACTGTATGGTCAACATCCGCAGGAAGTCATTAATTTCAATAGGACAATCATTTCACTATTATCTGCAGTTTCATGTTTCACAGTATGTATAGGATTGTATCCCCCACGGATATAGGGGTTATAACTGTACTTTTAAAAAAATCTTTCCCTTCAGCCTTGGAAAACTCACTTAGGCTGCATCCACACTGCAGAAATAATCCAATTTGATACCACTTTAACTGCCGTGGCCCAATACTATAGGATTCTGGTATTTGTAGTTTGTTGTTGCACCAGAGCTCTCTGACAAAAAATGGTAAATATCTCACAAAACTACAAATCCCAGTCCAACTGGATTCTGCAGTGTGGATGCAGCCTCAGTGAGATGGGGTATTTTTTTGGCTAATTGTTTCCACCAAGGCCTGAGTGCAAAAGAAGGAGAGGAGGTTTTACGGAGAATATAGAGTAATACCAGTTTAGCCTCTCCGCCTGGAAGCTCTTTGACTCTAATAACCTTTACCTTTGAGCATCCCTGCTTGAGGGAAAAGATTAAAAAGAGAAGAAGAAAGTGCCTATGCATGTGTGTGTGTGAGAGAGAAAGAAACATCCACTTTTTAGGTTAGCAGCAGACAGTTAAGCAGACCTCGGTGGCCTCAGGGGGGATGTAAGCAGGCCTTTCAAAAGCCCCGACTTCATAGGCTCATTACCGTACAGCTGGAGGATCAGGACCCTCGAGAGCTGGGCATGAAGGACCACGGTGGGAAGGGGGGAGCGCGTGTTCCTATGGAGACTGGGAGGTTATGGATGTCACCGCCGGAGGCAAGACTTTTGGTGGTTATGGATCAAAAGGAGAGTGGGCTCCCCACACCAGGGAAAGAGGGGGGAAATACAGAGCACTCTGGGAATGTAATGACTGGGTTTAATAACACACAACCCGGTGGTGAC